TAAAAATAAATGCATCAAATGGTATTACATCCAAATTCTTAAAGAAAAAAATTAAGTGAGTTACAGAAAGAAAGAGATAGTAAGACTATACTAATGGGGAACCTCATTTTCCCCTATCAGAAATAGATTAATATAAAAAAAAGAAATTAAGATAATAGAATTTTAGAAAAGTTACATATGAGAGATATGTGGACAAAACTGAATGGAAATAAAAAGGAATATACTTTCTCAGTGGATATGTACACAAAATTAGCCATGTATTAGGGCATTACAACCTCACAAACAAATGCATAAAATCAAAAATAGCAAATGCATCCCTTTCAAAATGTAGTTCAACAAAATAAAAATACATCTTTGGAAACATAGATTAGAAACTAATTGGAAACTAAATAATCTAATTCTAAAGAATAAATGGGTCAAGGAACAAATCATAAAATCAATCAACAATTTCATTAAAGAGAATTACAACCATGAGATAATGTACCAAATTTCATAAGAATTGTTCAAAGCAGTACTTAGTGGAAAAATCATATGTCTAAGTGCTTACTTCAATAACAAAGAAAGAGTAGACCAGAGGTTTGGGGAAAAAAAAAAAAACTAGAAAAGAACAAATTAAATATTCCCAATTAAAACAACAAATTGGAAATCTTAAAAATTAAGGTAGAAATTAATGAAATTGAAAGGAAGAAAACCATTAAACTAATAAATAAAAGTTGGAGCTTGTTTTATGAAAAAATAATAAAATAGATAAACCATTGGTTAATTTTATGTAAAAAAAAAGAAAGAGAACCAAATTACCAGTATCAAAAATTAAGAGTAAATAAAACTCCATTGAAAATGAAATTAAAGCAGTTGTTAGAAGCTATTTTGTCCACTTGTACGTCAATAAATCCAAGTAAGTGAAATGAATGAATATTTACTATAATGTTAATTTCCCAAATTAACTGAAGAGGAAATAGAATACTTGAATAACCCTATCATAGAAAAAGGAATTGCATGAGCCATCAATGAGCTCCCTAAGAAAAAAATTCCCGGACAAAATGGATTCAAAAGTGAATTCTATCAAACATTTAAAGGACCATTAATTCCAATACTATAGAAGTGATTTGGAAAAGAAAGCAAAAAAAGAAAGACCTGCAAATTCCTTCTACGACACAAATATGGTGATGATACCTAAGCCAGGAAGCACAAAAGAGTGAAAGCAAACTATAGAGCAATATTTTTAATGACTACTAATGCAAAAAAAATCTAAATAAAATAACAGGAAGGTGATGACAGCAATATGTCACATACATACAACAAAAATCATACATGATGACCAGGTGGGATTTATACCAGTAATTCAGTACTGGTCTAATATTATGAAAACTATCAACATCATTGACCATATTAATAACAAAATGAACAAAAAATCTTTTGACAAAATGCAACATTAATTCCTATTAAAAACACTAGAAAGCAGAGAAATAAATGGAGCTTTCTTTAATAAGTAATATCTATCCAAAAACCATCAGCAAATATCATCTGTAATGGTGGGAATGAGCTAGAAACTTTCACAATAAGATCAGTGGTGAAGCAAGAATGCCCATCCCCACTATTCTTATTTAATACTATACTAGAAATGCTAGCTACAGCAATAAGAGAAGAAAAAGAAATTCAAGGAATTAGAATAAGAAATGAGAAAACAAAACTACAATTCTTTTCAGATGATATGATGGTATACTTTGAGAATCCTAAAGAATCAACTAATAAAATACCTACTTGAACTTATTAACAACTTTAGCACAGTTGTTAGATACAAAGTAAACCCACCTAAATTATGAGCATTTCTATTACCAACAAAGTCCAGCAGCAAGAAATAGAAATAAAAATTCCATTTAAAATAACTATAGACAATAAAAATTACTTGGGAATCTACCTGCTAATAGAAACCCATGAATTATATGAACACAATTATAAAATACTTTTCATATGAGTCAGATCCAAGTGATTGGTAAAATATTAATTGCTCATGGGCACACTGAGTCAAAATAATAAAATAACAATTCTACTTAAATTAATTTACTTGTTCAGTGCCACAACAATCAAACTATCAAAAATTATAGAGCTAGGAAAAATAGTAACAAAATTCATCTAGAAGAACAAAAGGTCAAAAATATCAAGGAAATAAATGAAAAAAAATTTAAAGGAAACTGGCCTACCTGTACCAGATCTCAAAGTGTACTATGAAGCAGATCAAAATAATCTGGTACTGGTTAAGAAATAGAGTGGTAGATCAGTGGAGTAGATTAAGTATACAATACACAGTAATAAATGACCAGAATAATCCAGTATTTGATAAATGCAAAGATCCAAATTTTAGGGATATTGACTCACTATTTGATAAAAACTACAGGGAAAACGGTAAAATAGTTTGGCAGAAATGAAGCACAGACTGAAATCTCACACCAGATAGGGTCAAAATGAGTATAGGATTTAGACATAAAAGTTGATACCATAATCAAGTTAGGGCAGCGTGGAATAGCTTCGTTATCAGATCTGTGGATAAGAGAAGAATTTATGACCAAATACAGCACAGAGAAGATCACAGGATGCAAAAAAAAAATGACAATTTTGATTACTTTAAATTAAAAAGGTTCTGCAAAAACAAATCCAATACAACCAAGGTTAGAATAAAAACAGGAAACTGGGAAAAATTTACAGCAAGTGAATCTGATAAAGGCCTAATTTCTCAAATGTATAGAGAAATAAGTCAAATTTATAAGAATATGAGTCATTCCCCAATTGATAAATGGTCAAAGGATATGATCAGACAGTTTTCAGAAGAAGACATCAAAATTATCTATAGTCATATAAAATTCTCTAAATTACTATTGATTAGAGAAATGCAAATTAAAACAACTCTAAGGTACTACCTCATACCTATTAGAATGGCTAATATGACAGAAAAGGAAAATGACAACTTTTGGAGAGGATTTGGGAAAATGAGACATTAATATGCTATTGGTGGAGTTGTGACATGATCATATCATTCTGGAGAGTAATGTGGAACTGTGCTCAAAGGCTGATAAAATTGTGCACACTCTTTGACTCAGCAATTCCACTACTAGGTCTGTACCCCAAAGAGATCAAAGAAAAAGGAAAAGGATGTATACGTACAAAAATATTTACATTATTGTGATGGTGAAGAATTGGAAATTGAGGGGATGCCTATCAGTTGAGGAATGGCTAAACAAGCTGTGGTGTATGATTGCGATGGATTATTATTGTGCTATAAGTAATGATGGACAGGATGGTTTCAGAAAAACCTGGAAAGACTTGCATGAACTGATGCAAAGTGAAGTGAGCAGAAACAGGATAATATTGTACACACTGATTAACAATATTGTACTATCAACCATGAAAGACTTAGCTATTCTCAGCAATATAATGATCCAAGACAATTCTGAAGGACTAAGGATAAAAAAATGCTATCCACCTCCAGAGACAGAACTGATATAGTCTGAATGCAAATTGAAGCATACTTTTAAAAAATTGTCTTTGTTTTCTTTGTTGTTGTTGTTTTGGATATCTGTGTTTTCTTTCACTGCATGTCTAAGATGGAAATACGTTTTGCATGTACAGTCTACATCAAATTGCCTGTCTTCTCAATAAGGAGTTAGGGAAGGATTAAGGGAGAGAATTTGGAACTCAAATTTAAGAAAGTGGGTGTTGAAATTGTTTTTACACATAATTGAAAAAAACCTATATATATGTATATATGTACATATGAACATATGTACATATGTATATATGTATATATGTATATATAATTCAACAGGGAATTTTCATGCAATATTCTAATGCAAAGCAGTACAATTGCAATTTAACAATTTTAAAGATCTTTTCCTTTTAATCTGGCTGCACCAAAAAACATTTTCTGAATACCAGCTTTTCACTAACTCTTCTCCATTTTTACCTGTGTTTAAGGGCATGTTTCTGATGGTAATGAACTTCAGAAACCTTCAAAATCTATGTAATATTTTAAAATTTGATTCAAATTATTCCTCTAGTAAAGTCTTCTGAGGCTTTCCTAGTAGATTAGTTGAGGGAGTCCTCAAACTTGTGAAATTATGGATCCTGGAATTATTGACCTAGTAAAATTCTTGTCTCCTTCCTCATTTCTTCTGTTCTATGTTAATTTACTTTTAATACCTAGCTCTTCTGAATTTCCTGATGTTCTTAGATGATTAAGACCTAAGGGATAATATAATTTAAAATTGCAGTCACAAAGTTTGCTATTGTCTTATTTCTAGGTAATTACATGTTCATTCCATGCTTGAACGATCATATTAATGTTACACATTAGAATTAAGATCTGAATCAGACTTTACTCTGAGAGAAAAGAGTACAAATATTATAAAGAGATTTTGAAAATATAATTTCCCAAACCTTTTGCTGTTCAACACAGAGTGATGTGGTGGGTAGAGCAAAGGATTGGTACTCAGCAAGCCCAGACTCCAGCTACTCTTGGTTTTCGCTATTGTGCCCAATCCATAAGGAAAATCTAGGGAAGATGATGGCGAATTTAGGATTCTTTAAAAGGTGTAAATGTGTTCTTAATTTTACTGTTTGCAAAATAAGGCTGGCTAGCTGTTCTGTTTGTTCATTTACCATCACTGAAACCATTTAATATAGGCATATTTACTCATTGCAATTGGGCAAAATAAGTAGATTGGTAAAAATTGAGTAATAAAAGAGAACACCTGCTATTAGTTGACTCTACACATTATTAAAATGGAGATTACAGCCAAAGTTTGGTTGTATCACTGGGCCCAAATAAATAATATTATAAATGATGAAAATTAAAATAGACATGATGCTTTAGAAATATTTTGTTTTGTAAGAGCTAATTTTTCTAATCAATCAATTAGATTTAAGTGCTTTATTTTTATATGCAGGATTATATCAGTTCACAAATAATCTACCTGGATTTTTCCACTTCTGTTTTTATTCTGTAGATTGCTGCCAATTCCTGGGGAAAGTCATGGGGAGAGAATGGATATTTCAGGATTCTTCGCGGTGTGAATGAGTCTGACATTGAAAAGTTGATTATTGCTGCTTGGGGCCATTTGACGAGTTCAGATGAATCATAACATATCATTAAATTTGCCTGATGCCCTGCATTTAAGTAAGCCTCTTAAAATGAGGTTTTGCAACTTGAGGGTCCCTCTAACAATGGAATGTATGTGTCCTAACTTGTGATTAATTCATACCTGTTTTTTGTTTTGTTTTAACTCAGCTCTAGACCGCTCCTTTCTTTATTCCACTGAGTTATACAAAAACACTAATACAGCACGGCAGTAGTGTAAGCTACACAAAGCTCTTTTAAAGTGTCTCATCTCATCTTCCTTCTTTAGTGTTAGGGGCTTTAATGATTCACCATCTGTGATAAGACATCATTTCTCAGCATCATTTGCCTTAAAGGATGAGAACACCCATTAACAGAAATGGTAGTTCATTTCTTCAGTGGTACAAGCCTCAAGAGCAGAAAAAAATGAAGGAGAGATCCTATCCTTTTATAGCTGTGTCATTTGTTTTCATGGTGATACTTTCCTCAATCCAAATATGGCCCATGTGCCACTGAAAACAATGAAATCAGATTTTTTTTTCTCCCAATGACCTGGCAGTTATCACTCATTTCCTTTGGAAGTAGCAGATTTTTTTTCTAGCACATCACTGACTTACATGACATGATTAACAGTAAAATCCCTACACAGGAAACAACAGCTGCTGCAGTTCAGTACATAACAAAATATGATATGAAATAGATGTCATGTAATATGAAAAGGTGGAGTGTAGGAATAGAAAGCCTACTCTTGTCCTGCTTTCAACGCTTCTAAAACTTCTTTGAAGTCTATTAAAATTAGTTACACAACTGTAATTGGAAAGATTATATTTTTTCCTTCTGAAAACAGCAACATGATGCCTTGAGTCAGAAAGAATAAATATCCCTTTATCACAGTCATTTCACAGTTCACTGCTTGAGTTTCTGAAAAGTAAGCTTAATTGGCACTAATTTGCATCTAATCTTGATTTCAGTTTTCAACAGTTATAGACACAAACATAGCCTCATCATAATCACTGGGCAAGGAGATAATCTAATAATTTACTGACATCTTGAAATGGCAAACTAATAAATGAAGACACAAAGCTGATCATTATACAAATGACAATGGTGAATTGCAGTGACTTGAATGGGTGGAGGTAAAGAGAGGAGTTAAACTTTGCTATGTTGCTTAGCTTATTTCTTTGATATACAAGAGCTTGATTCTTAACATTTAACATTTTTCAGCTTAATTTTTGTATAGGGTTAAAATTTCCCAATTAGATTGGTAAGAACTTATTCTGATCAGGATGTGGATAATATGAGATAGAGAAAGGTATTGTGCAAAGACATGGCGTAGGGGAAAGAATATTAAATTGGAAATTAGGAGATTTCAGTTCTATCCCAGATTCTGTCACTGACTTACTTTATTGCTTTGATCAATCCTCTTTAACTACTTTGATTTACAGGGTCCCCAGTTTCTTTATCCATAAAATATAAACCGAATGATCCCTAAGTCCCCTTACACCTGTAATATTTGATAATTTTAAGATAATGGATCTCAAAGAGTTTGCTGCTGGACCCTGCCTGGTGTTTGGTGAATTGTATGGAACTTTTGCAATGACATGCACATGTTTGAGACTCTTGACTGTACCATTTTGAGCTGTGGTTCCTTACAGCAAAAAATAATGGGGTGCCATGAGCAAAGCCAAAAACAACTCCCCCAAAAAACAACCTTTGAGAGTCACTGTTCTAAGAAAAGATTTAACAGCTCCCTAATCAGAAGGAGATTTGATTCACAGAACTGGACCATATCAGAGGTATAAGAGGCCCCAGGAGCTAACTAATATAATCAAGGCCTAAGTAACAATTTCTTCTTCAACACTGTTAATTCATGTTGCACTTACATCCTCTTACATCCCCCAGATCTTTTCATACCAAATGCTTTCTGTCTATGCCTCCTCCATCTTGTACTTGTGAAGTTGAGTTATTTAACCTGTGTAAGAATTTATATTTATCCCTATTAAATTGCATTTTCCTAGATTTGACCACATGTTCTAGTCTGTTGATCTTTACCAAAATATCCTCTACTATACTTCATGCTCTTGCTGCTAGATTATTTTGAATGAGTACATTCTTTTAGCATACAAAGCTGATGCACACCTTTTTAACTGTTCTATTCCTTTTGAATTAATTATATGTTACCAGAGCTATAGTCCAGGCCATAGGTCCTATGCCAAGAAATCTCAATAATAAGTCTGAGGTTAAATTTGTCACCCTAGACAAGTATTTCCTTATTTGTTACCCATGATCTATACATATATGTATGTAAATCTAAGGCCCTGAGCTTTTTAAATTAATCCTTTTGTATATTTTAATCTATTCTGAATTTTTGCAGATATCCTTCTTACATTGCAACACTCTTGCTTGGTAAGAATGTGTACATTAGTTTTCTGTCACTTCTCTCTTCCTCTTTGGCTTTAAAGCCCTTTTGGTTATATTTGCATGACTGAGAAAATACATTTTTTTACAACATCTATTAGATATACTCCATATTTGGCCGACAGCTCTTCTTTCCCATATTTTAAGTGATGTTATAGAAATTCAAAACAAGTTCTCACACATCATCTTCTTAAATGATTATCTATGTCATAATTTATTTGTCATTGCCCCACAAAGAATATATGAAATGAGCCATTCAACTTCCAGAAAAGTAAAAAGAACTTGGTGTTAAATGTATTTTGTGATGTTTCACAGGTGATATAAGATATAATCTACACTGTAATTATAAGGTGGCATTTGTTCCATAAAAATCTTGGAGATAGATTTGGGTAAATCTTTCCCTACCATTCAGAAGGATAATAGTTAAGATTTCAAAAATAATTTTATATCCGGGTAATAATAATATAAAAGGGAACTCATGAAACCAGAGAATATACAGTATAATTTTACTGAAGAACTGGAAGTTTTTTGAGTATATTAGGGAGATCATTGAATTGGAATGGGACCTGATAGATTATCTAATTCAAAAGCCTCATTTTAGAGCTGGGGAAACTGAGGCCCAGAAAGACAAAGCATCAGATCCAAGATCACAAAAGTAATAAATACCAGATCTACTATTTGAACCCCTTGTCTTCCAGCCTCAGACACAGCATTTGTTTCACTGGGCCACATTCTCTAAAACACATTCTTCTATCTCTAAATCTTATTATTTCCTGGAAAATAAGTGCAAAATTCAACACTGAGGTGCTAATAGACCTTTCCTCTTTGATTTTTTTCTGACTAGATTAATAATTTCATTGATATTGGAAACTCCTTCATGCACAATAGTACTTACTCTGTAACTTGTAATCTTAGAGTTGCTTGGGTCACTGAGAGTTTAAGCAACTTGTCCACAATTCCAAAGCCAGTACATATTAAAGACAGACCTTGAACCTAGGTCTTCCTGTCTCTGAGACCAATTCTGTCCTCTATTCCATGATGCCTTTCTAGGCTTTCATAAGAATGGTTTTACAGAGCTAAAACATTCTCTTTTGCCATTTCAGGATTCAAATACCCAGAAGTTCTAATTCAATCCTATTAAATTGCTTTTCAGTTTGGATGAGGCTACTTGACCTAAAAGTACTTTTCAAGGGCTTGTAACAGCTGTAATCAAACACCTAGTGAAAATTCACTAGGGTGACCATCTAAGGTATGACAACTCCCGTGTGTGGTTGAGGTAGTCTGGAGACTATTATCATTATCAACCTATTAACTCAACCTATTATAGGTTGAGTTAAAAAGTTTAAATAACTTCAAGGCTAGTGTTTTGAAGGGAATATGACTGGATTTCAGAACAATGAGGGCCAAGTACTGAAGTCATGGGGAGAAAAAGAGAGTGACTAGTATAACCATAAATTATAGCAACAAAGATCTAAGCAGGATATAGCAAACTTTAAAGCAGAAAGGTGGTTGCTGAGTGGTAATGGCAAAGGGAAGGTATAAAGTGCTATCTCCTCCCAGCTTAGAGACTGCAGGGGAAGTTTTTGCCAGCCTTTGAGACAGTGCCAAGAGATTTAATGTCTTCAGGAGACAGAAAAAAATGTGAGAAGATGATATCTGGGAAGAAGGGAAGCTAGTTAACACTAGCTCTAAAAGGCTCAGTGGAGAAAGAAAGCAGAGGATAGCTCTATGGCTGAGCTTGGCAGGGAAAAAAAAAGTGGTGGGGAGAGTATTTCTGCCTAGGCAAAAGGCAAATCTGAATCACAAAGTGTGGAACAGCAGGACATGCATGGGGAGTAGAGAGAAGCTAAATTAGATTCCAGGTTCCAATTAAGATAGTCTGCAAATGCCTCTGTCAAATTTGATGCTGTCCCTCAGCTGGTTATAGCAGGGTGGGAGTGTGGTGGATTATTTGTTTGACAGAGATCATACCTCCTCTAATCATAATCATTGGCTGCCATTTCTTGAGTGCTTATTCCCATGCAGAGTATTGTGCTTAGTGCTAGACAGACTGAGAGAAGGTGTGAGAGACAACCTTTAACCCTGTGTTACTGTGGTTTATTTATCCTGCTACTTCTCTGTGGCATGGGTCCTCAAGTCATTTGGAGCAAGGAAGGAAGTCTGCTCTGGTAGGAGTGTGGCTTGGGGAGAAGATGTAATAGGCATGAAACTCTAGGGAGTGGCAGCTAGGGATCAGCAAAGGAAAAGGATCAGTGAAACACCTGGTACTCTGTGTGAGGAAGGATGTAGGGTGGGGGGATATTCACACCATTATTAGTGACTTTCCTCAATAATTCCCTGCTAGTTCTGGCTCTGGCTCTGAAGTGAACAGCAAGAATTGAAGTTGCCTGCCCTGTTTTTTCTCACCCAGTTCAAATCATGATTGTTGCCTGGAGGGTTTCCATTTAATCTGGTCATTCCAAGTAGCTTCTGAAACAAGACAGTAGAGGATTTTTCTTCCTTTTTTTCCTAGATGTTAAGAAGAGCCCTACCTGAGGAAAAAAATAGGGCAGACCTTCCTCTTGAGATCGAGGACTGTCTTTTGCTTTTCTTTGTGTCCCCAACTTA